ATAGAAGTACAACTTGTCCCTTTGCAGCAATGTCTGTTACTTATTGCCTTTGATTCTCTTTTGAACAGATGTATTAAAACATCAGTAGAGTTTAGACAAATGGAAAATGCCTGTCTTCAAAAAATGTTTTCCAACATATCTCCTATTTCAATTCTGATCCATATTTCAGCCTTGTACTTCTTACACGAATGAGTAAACACTTTTCTCAATTGGTAGACTCAGCCCTCCTAGCCACACACCATTCTGCAGACAATCACATTATCCTGCTCCAAGCTACCACCAAAACAATAGGTTCTATGTATGGAGCCAGAGTGCAGACAATACAGTGTACAGTTATAATTTTTGAGATTTGTTTGCTTTGTAAAATAACTCATAGTTTAAAGAGGATTTACCTTGGTTTAATATTTAGGATTTCCAGTTAAACTGGCAAATTATTATTATTATATTTGTCTTTCAATGAAATATAATATATTCCTGGTTAAAACCAGATAAATCTAATCTGCTATTGGGATACTGTTCTCTTACATTCCATCTTAGGGCAGGCTCTTTTACTGGAGCTTTTCTACCGTATTTGTAGCAGAAGCAGTAGAAGATATGATTGAAGTTAATTTGAAACTTAAAAGCAAGTCTGCATTTTCAGTGTGCAAAGCTGTGATGGAAAATATGTTCATGGGACATTGTTGATACATCTAGATAACGCAATGTAACTGGAATAATAGATACGGCTGTTATCCCAAAGTACTATTAAATTCTCTCTGCAATATATGTTTTTTGAAATGAAACATTTGTTGTAACGTAATATTTGAATCTAATAGTGAATGGAGTGCCTTCCTCTGAAAGGTGCTGTTCAAAATTAATTTTTATATTGCATTTTTATATATGCTTTTTATACTATAAATATTCTGCTGATAAAACAAAAATTTTATTTTTAGAAAAGTAGTGTGTTGGCATACTGTATACATGCATCAACTTTGCAAATTTCTGCTTGTAATACCTGATAGTAGATTAAATTTCTGGAGTGTTGTACAGATATATTTATGTTTTGAAATCAGTTTTCTTTAGTGTATCATATGTTAGGATAATAAAATTTAAATTCAGTGACTTAAGTTGATCTAATTTATAATGTTAAAAAATATGAGTGTTTGATCTTCTGTAATAGGGAATACAAAATTCTTATTAATTTCAACAATATTGACTCCATCTGCAATCATGAGGAATTCTCATCTTTTTTTTCCTAAAAATTAACTAAATTTGGATATAGCTAAACTCTGGATAAAGACAGATTTCTGGTGTTAATAGAAATGTTTTTTATAATCTCTGTAGATCATACACGTGTGATTTGCACATAAGTACAAATTAAACAATAATTTTAAATCTGAGCAGACTTGACAGGAGTCTGCCCCTCTGTCTTCACCATACATGTAAAATGTCATGATTGCTGCTTAAATTACTTTTCAGCTACTGTAATTGAACTCAGCAACATAAGAATTTTGAGCCTAACTTTATTTTCTTTATACCCCTTCATGACTTCTTATTGTATCTTGCTTCTAGTCAGCTTACAATCTCAAAAGTAACTGTTTCTTTTAACTGCTCAGATTCTACAAATAAATTAGACCGACATTTTTCACTAAGAGGAAGGGTAGCACTCCCCCTGAAAGTCATTCATTTATTTTGCAGTCTTCTCATTCTTTATTACTGCCAGCTATGATTGGGCATAATAGGATGACTGGTATTTTTATATATCATATGGTTCTCAATTTCTTGTTTTGATCCTGAAGTTGTTTTAGGTAATATTTTCACAGTAACAGATTGTTACAAATTTAATAGGTTCAAGTAACTGTTATGTAGATCAGACACTCCATGTATTTGCCGTCAATAACATGTTCTTAAGAAAGTTCTTAAGTTCAGTGCAAGAAAAGAAAGAATGGTACCAATAATCCCTTCCTCTTACATTAATATTCTTAATGTTGCATAGAGAAGATCAAATGTTGTTCAACTTTGAGGCTTTGTTTTATTTAACATATTTTATATAGACAAGTTACAGACAATTGATAGTGCCATTATTAATTCATCATCATAAGCTCTTCAGTGTTCCAAGTTGGTTCCAGTATTTCATAAGTGCAGATTTAGCTGAGGTATTTCTGATTTAGGTTACAACTATTTTCTCTTCAGAACTGAGACTAAAAATGGAGAAGCTTTGGTCTGTGGGCACAGCCACTGTTTTCATAAAGCAAATAGAAATAGAAGGGTTAAATAGCAAAGCAGAAATTGCTTTGATAACAATAATTAGACCTTGTCTCTAGCACTCAATTACATATGTCTGCAGTTTTTATTTTCTTACTGCAGTCTTGTATAAAATGGAATGGTCATTAGATTACTATTCTGCCACAGATACAGATTTTCTGTTTTAATGTTTATCTGTACTGCTTCTCATTTTTTAACTGTTCTTTGTAAATTTTAAAAATAAAGCAAACCTGGAAAGCAGATATGTACATCTGAATATTTTGAAGAATCGATGTACTCTAATGGCCATTTGGAATTTCACTAGTTTTACCCCATGGAATCGGCAACATACCACAGTGAAATGTGGCAGATTATCCCTCAGTATGTTATATAAAGCCAAACAATATGGTAATTTTAGCTTGGTCTTGTGTGCAAAGCCAGATCAATTTAATAAATAGGTAAGTAAACAAATAATTAAAAAAAAGTTTGAGATAGCTATGAGTTATCTATTTTCAATATAGCTCATTACTGAATGACAATCACAATATAGACAGTCACATTTAGCCTACAATTTTCTGTAAGCTGTGCCCCTGTGATTTATGATTAATTGTGTTGTATGTAGTCAGCAAATGAGGTTGGGTAAAATTATTATATACTGCCCAACTCCTAGCAATTCTGGTTAATTCCCAGCAATATTGAAATACACAGAGTAAACGTAAAATTAATGATTATGGAAAAATACATGGGTAAAAATACCCAAATTACTCAACAGAATTTGAATATAACTTCCTCTGGCCCTCTTTAATTAAACACTGCTTTGCTGCATTAATAAACTCTTAAAATGTAACACCTTATTCTTCCTGTGTAAGAATTTATATCAAAAGAATTTTCTGGGTCCCTTTTCCAAGTCAGGATATCTCGAGCAAATAAGACAACAAGACATGCTGCCAGGAAAGGAGTTGATTCATTTATTTCCAGAAGCAAAAAGGTTTGCTCTTGGGATAGGCTACAGAGAAAATGGAGTACAAAGACTTTGTTTTATAGGGGGACTGGTCCTTGGTGTGGGCTTGGTGTACATGGTGATTCTAGCAATGATTCGGTCTAAAGGCCAATCTTAATTGTCCTTTCTGATGTCTGTTCCCTTTCCTTACATGGTGTCTGGGCAGCCTATTTGTGAGTGTGAGAAAGTCTGACTGCACAGGTTGGTTGTTTGATTAATTAATCTTGCAGGATAGGATGGGATAGAATAGAATAGAAAAGAATATGGAAGGGATCTTGGAGGTCTTCCTAGTCCAGCCCCCTGCTCGATCAGGAGAATCTAGGTCAGTGGTGGCGAACCTATGGCACGGGTGCCAGAGGCGGCACTCAGAGCCCTCTCTGTGGGCACGCGTGCTGTCGCCCCAGTCTTAGTCCTTCAGCTGGGTTTTATAAAACCTTTTCGCTTTAGGCCTCCACCACTGTATGCAAAAAAAAAAGGTTCAATGAATCAGTCAATTTCAACTTCTTGCGGGGGGGGGGGGGAAGATCTTGCAAAGTTGGAATTGATTGATTGAACTTTTTAGTCCCACCCAGTCTGCAGTTACCACTTCAGCCACACCCACCCAGCACCCAACGATGCATGTGGGTTTTGGGTTGCAGTTTGGGCACTCGGTCTCTAAAAGGTTCTCCATCACTGATCTAGGTACTTGGTTTTGGTACTTTGGTTGTGCTATTATCAATTGATACCGTAGCTTAGCAGAGCTGCAGTTTAGCTATTGATTGTTACAATGTATGTTCCATAGTTTTCAGTTTCAGTGAATCATGGTCTTGTGTTAATGATAAAGGGAATGGTAAAGGGATAGCTGAGACAGCGAGAAAAAAGTTAATTTGGATTAAAGAATTTCCCATGATTATTATTGTTAAAATAAAATACTTTCCATAAATCCCAAAACGGATAAATCTCACTGCAAATTAGTTGGATAGAAAATTTGGTCCGTATACTTTCCTCAGAGTTCATCTGGTTTCACCAAAAATACGCTGTGTGTTACCTCTTCCCCTTCCCCTTCCCTATCACGGCGATCTGGTTTTGCACGTCTGCATCTCAGTTCTACGGTTAGTGGGCAGGCACACTAAACGTGTATACTCGGCTTCCGTGGTCTATCCGCCTCCGGTTTGAATAATGATCCGCAGAGCAGGCCAGAGGTTATTAGAGGAGGAGTGGGCGAAAAGTTCAGCAAGGAAGCGCGAGAGACACCTCCCATCTCTCGCCATTTTTCGCTTCCCGGGGGCGCTGGGTCTCTCCAAGGGGCAACTTGCGAAGAGCACCGACACCGCCATACCCGGCCGCCGCAGATCCGCTCGCGCCGGGCAAAGGGGCGGCGACAACCCGTCACCGAGGCAACGCGGGAGCTCCTCCTCCTCTCCTCTCCTCCTCCTCCTCCTCCGCTCTCCCGTTAGCCTTCGGGGCCAGTTCTCGCGAGGCTTGCCAACTGGAAGCGCCGCCATATTGTGTGGCACTATTTTGATTTGGATTTGCCTGGCTGAGACGCACAGCGAGCGGAGGAGGAGGAGGGACGGGAGCGCCTGGGAAGCCGGAGCGGTTCCAAGCCAGATCGGGAGAGGCGGCGGGGCCTGGAAGATAACCCCCTTCCGCCTTCCCCCGTCGCCCCTTCCGGGCTATCCGCCCCAGCAGCCGTCCCAGCACGGACCCCCCCTTGCTCCCTCCCCCGGTGGCGGCGGGAGGCGGCGGCAGCCCCGGAGTGGCTCGGAGGGGTCGCCTGTCCGGCTGGAGGCCGGAGGAGCCCGCGCCGAGGAAGGGTGAGCAAACTCGGCGGGGCTCGCGCCCGCTCCCCCAAAGGGCTGTCCGCCAGGCGGGCCTGGAGGGAGCGGAGACCCCGCTGCCTGTCTGGGCCCGGCTGGCCGCGGGGCCCGGGAGCAGGAGGGGCGGAGGGGGGGGCGTGTGCAGGCAGGGCCGGGTGGCGGTGGCCCCGCTGGGGAGAGGAGGAGGAGCTGGGCTGAGCTTCCGCGGTCTGTCGGGGAGCTGGACGCCGCGTTCGCTCGGCCGAGGGCTGGGAAACTTCTGCCGCTCCTCCTGGAGCCCCTTCGGAGACGTCCCGGGAGGCGAGGGGCCTTTTTCCTTTTTCCTTTTTTTGCCTCCTTGACTTCGGAAGCTTTTCTTGCGCTGGTTCAGTTCGCTCTTGGGCGTCGTTTATCTGCTTGTCTCTGTGCTTCTCCTTCCCTGAAGAAGAAGAGCTCCTGCTCTTGACTCCCAAGTGGATGGGTGTAGGAAGTGTGGACTGATCGTATATAATACGTTTAGGTGTTGTGTTTTGTTCAGTTGTGTTTTGTTCAGTTTAAGAAATATTTCTGTGTTGTGTTTTGTTCAATTTAAGAAATATTTAAGCTACCTAGTGTGCTTACGACAAATATTAGTAATATGCCATTTTTAAAATATAAAATATAGATTTTATAGATTCAGAATATAGCATGAACATAAACTCATTTGTAAAGGAGATAAAGGCGTATTGTTAGATTTATATCCTGCATTTTTTTAAGGAGCTCAAGTTGATGCAGGGAGCCACTCCCTCATCACATCCTTTCCCCCCCCCCCCCCATATCAACAACTCTGGGATAAATTGGGATTGGAAAAGTGAATGACTGGACCAAGTCTCCTGATGAGCTTCTTTGGGGAGGGGGGAATTGAAGCAGGATCTTCCCAGTGTTAGCAGCTTAATCACTATTAGATACTGTCTGTTCAGATCTGTGGTCTAAAAGGTCTACAGAACAAAATGAAGCTTTCAGGTGCAGGGATGAGCGGGAAAGGCAGGTTATTGAGGCAGGAAATTCCAAAATCTAGGCACTTTTTGGCTGAGAAGGCCATGTATCACTGTATCAGGCAGGATCTGTTAGTAGATTCCAGTGATACTTTGGATTATCTGAGAGAGATTGAGCTCAGGTGCATCCTTGTCTTAATAATATATACTGTATCCTCTAATTTAAAAACTTGGTTTTACAGTGTTCACCTACTAAAGTTTTAGGTACTGCTCATTTTATTAGAGTACTAATGGTCCTGGAGTGAGTAAGGTGTATGTGATGATGATTAAATCTCCAAAAATCTAAGCTGAACAAAAACAACCCTGTGCATAATTGTTGCATCAGCATCAGAAGCAAAGTACTCTTAGATCTTGAGCCTAATTTTCAATAAGAGTGCAGCTTTGTCAAGGCTATTCCTACATTTTGTGTCAGCTTTTCCACTAAGCAGTAGTTTATTCCCAAATTTAAGAGGCTTTGTTTTTGTGTTCTCAATTACCAGTTGAGAACATCTCCAGGTTTCCTGAACTTCAACAATAATGATAAAAAGAATGAATAATGTGGGCAAAGATTATGGGATGTCTTCCCAAGGTTTTGTGCTCAAGTCAGCTTCAGCCAGCATGGTATCAGATCCAAAAATGTAGATGGAATAAAATGCAGTATCTACTTCTGTAGTAAGAACTTTCAGGAGCCTTTTTTGTTGCTATTTCTTGCAACATAACCTCCTTGAAAGAATCACAAATAGTGTTGCTAATCTCACTTGACCAAAATGTAGCTGTCTGAAAATTGATTAACCTGATTTAAAAAAATATATATGAATATATTAAGGTTTATCTTCAACAAAACGTAATAGTGTCCTTTTGAGATACATGCCCGTGTTTTTTTTCCCACTATGTGGCTTTAAACTTTCTTTTGATTGGGATCAAGTAAAGTGTAAAAAAAATGGTACCTTCAGTGCTGCTCATCTCTTTATCATTATTATATTTCCAAACAATTAGAAAAGTTAATGATTTATTTTAACAGTATGTTAACCATATTTTATAGATTTTTCCATTGTATAGCTATTCTGCTTAGCCCCAGTTACTTAGAGATGAAATTCTTACTACATACCGGTAGTCCTTGGTTTACGAGCATTTATTCATCAACTGTTCAAAATTACAATGGCATTTAACAAGTAGATTATGGCCAGTCCTCAAAGTTGTGGCCATCCTAGTGTCCCTGTGGTTACCTGAACACAGTTTGGGCATTTATGAGAGTTGCAGCATCTCTGTGGTCACATGATCACCATTTATTACCTTCACTGCCAGATGCTAATAAGCAATGTCAGTGAGGAAGCTGGCAGGCGATCTCACAGGACTTCCTGCCTAACAGCCGCATGGGATTCACCTGACTGCAACTTGAAATCTCTGGAACTGCCATTGTAAATCAGCAACGGTCATGTTACATCGCACTTTACCACCATGACACTTAGTCATCCCAATAGTTGCTGACCCAACACTGTCTGTATAGATTTTCATTCTGTTCTCATGTGTTTGGGTGATGGTTTAATTTTATCTAGCTAAAAGTGATTTTTATTTATCTAAACAGATGGGGTTTTTATATTGTTATAATAAAGGTTTGTGTGCAGTAGTTCTGTACTTATTGGGAGTCTTGCCAAGTAATGTTCTTAACAATATTGATGTGCCACAGTTAAGGTGTGACTTCTTGAATCTGATGTAGGAGAGTGCATGAAAGCTGAACTAGCACTCGCAGCAAAATCTGAAATCTGATTTTTTTTAAATAATACGCAAAAGCTCTGAAATCAGCAAGGAATGAAATATTCTGTATACAATTGGGTATCTCAAAATAATATAACAAGACAAGGATTCCCCAGCCTTTTGGTGGGCATATTGACATTTGAAAAAACATACTGCACATTCAAAATATTTGCTAGGAGTTTAACCATTGATGAATTTTCTATTGAATCACATCAGAAAGCACCATTTTACTAAAATATTGCCTATCACTCTACTCTTTGTCTTATAGGATGTCTGTGTTATCTATTTTCTTTTTCTGGGTAAATGAACATACTTTGGATTCAGGCCATCATTTTTATTACCCCCAAAAAAGTCTGGTTAGAGGCATTTTTAGAAACATATATTGAGTTTGATCCCAAGTGGGGTCAGGGCTGGTAATCATATGTATAAAATTGTTGTGCTATTTGTTAGACTTGAAAGTCAGAAAATAGCCTGGAAGAAAGCAATGGCAATCATTCTATACTGCTGCCCAGGAGACTATATGGATATAGGCCATGTAATCTCCAATAGTGCTCAATTTTAATGAATTTTCCTTTTCCTTGACCATTCCAAATGACTTGGTTACCTTGGAATGTCTTGTCTTTGGAGATATGACTTTGTGGCAGAATGAAACTATTCTAAAGTATTGAAACTGATTGTTTCTCAATAGAGTATCTCTCAAAATGGCTTAACAATAAGCTGATTTACCCCTTCCACTATTTTTTTAAGTGATAGAGACCACTTCTTTTGAATTTTATGACCTAACATCTTTTTATCATGAATTTACAGAATGTCTTCATGTTTTTTTCTTCTAGCTTTATGTTGACCATGAGTCTTGTGATGATAAGTGAGAATGTGAAGCTAGCACGTGAATATGCATTGCTTGGGAATTATGATTCTGCAATGGTTTACTATCAGGGAGTACTTGACCAAATGAGCAAATATCTCTCTTCTGTCAAAGATACGTATCTTCAGCAGAAATGGCAACAAGTGAGTTTTCATTTTCTGGTTTTGTTCCTTTATTTTCATGTATTAAATAGGATTATCATTTCAATTAGACCTCACTTTAAAAGTTGAGCTAAATTGAATAAACACGCCTGTTGCTAAACACTAGTGAATCACAAGGGTGAGTACAAAAATAATAATTAACAAAAGTTGCTATTTATGGTTGGAGAGAACTCCATTAAAAAAGTAAAGTAAAACTGGCTTCAAAAACACTGCCCCCTTCTGAATCCTGTTTTATTAAAAATGTTAGTCGGTTAATCTAAAGCTAGCTGTTATCTTGAGCTGGTGTACTCAATTTGGAAATGTGCCGTGTGCATGTGTGATCATTTCTTAGACTCTGCCACTTCAAATTATGTTGCTTTTAAAAGCATTCATACATCTTACTTTTTTCCCCCCTAAAATCCATTAAAGGTTTCTTGCAAGACTTGTAATAGGCCCTTATCAGTTTTCTGTAATGTTTTACAGAGTTAACAACTTGTACATGTATCTGAGCCACAAACATTTCATTAGGTACTTGACGTTGACAAGTTTCTACAAGCTAACATTGTGCTTCTTTGTATTTCATGTTTTTAATCAGGTTAGGCAGGAGATAAGTATAGAAGCTAAGCATGTGAAGGATATCATGAAGACACTAGAAAGTTTTAAATTAGACAGCACTCCTTTAAAAGCGGCACATCAGGAATTACCAGCTCATGATGGAGAAGTCTGGTCATTGCCTGTACCTGCTGAACGTAGGTAAGAGACACCATGAGGGGAAAAGCAGATTAGGGTGTTCAAATATTAGATGTTAAAGTATGTTAAATATTGTTTTTGAGCCTCTAACTCGTAACTACAGAAGCATTTAATGCTCTCCTGCTCCCATTAATAGAGCTCCTATGAATAAGTGATTGAATCTGTTTACTAGAAGCACTTAGTATGTGCAGAAAGAATTGTATGCAATTATAACACATTCATACAAAACACAGATTCTGGGAGATTGAAGGGAGTTGTAATCTTTAATATATTCAAATATTCTTAGATAAGAATATCTTACCATATTTACAGTTTTCCCCATTTTGTATTCATTCAGATCTTCACCAGGGCCTAGGAAACGTCAGTCAGCTCAGTGCAGTGATTGCCGAAACCAAAATTACCGACCCGGAGCAGCTGCTAGAGTCCTTCATCGGCCTTCTTCCCGAAATACTAATGATAAAGGCAAAGTTGTTCGTGGCCGGGAAAAGAAAGATCCATTAAATAAAGGAAAAGAGGAAAAAGTAAGTTTTATGAATGTGAAACCAACACCTCCAAATCTTATAAAACATCCTTCTTATCATTTGAGTCTCTTTTTGGTCTTTTATTTATCAGCATTTCTAGTAGAGAGCACTTGTGTAAAACTTTCATGAAGATGTTTTTAAAAAGAAGCCACAAATAATAGTATAATGTTCTGCTTACTCAGAATAGGGTTATCTTACTTATTTTACTTAAGAGGTTTATATCATTACCCATCATATATACAATAATAGGTACCTGGGCAGTTAACACTAAAGCATAGAGATAAAACAAGTCTTACAGTACAGTACAGAAAAAAAAGTTGCACTTCCTCCATCTCATGACATCACTATGCATTCTACATTTCCTAGCTCATTGCCATCCTAATCAATGCCTGGGGAAAGAGCTAGATCTATATCAGACATGTCAAACACAAGGCCCGGGGGCTGGATGTGGCCCGCGAAGTGGTTTCATGTGGCCCACGAAGCCATCCTGGAAACAGTGAGGGAACGGCCCCCACTGCCTTGGCCCTGGCCCAGGCCAGCCGGGAGCCAATGTACAATTTTGTGGTGGCCATCTAAGCTGAAATGCATTCAGTCTTACCTCCACAAGGCGGTCTAGAAACAGCGAGGAACCAGCCCCTGTCGTGTTGGCCCCGCCCCCTGGGTGCATGCTGGGGAGGTGTCACCCTTTGTGAGGAATGAAGAAATGGACCATGCCTTGGCACTTACCCCGGTCCCACCCCCTTCTGCCGGAGACCCTCAGATCTGTCCCACTCCTGCCAAGCCCCCACAGGCACCCTTGACGCAAACAATGTAGAGCTGGCCATGCCCATCCAGTAGACTGCACCCCCCCTGGGCCCCCCGAGGACAACCGCAATGCTGATGCGGCCCTCAATGAAATTGAGTTTGACACCCCTGATCTATATTGCCTTCCAGGAAGCCATGAAGGTAGCAGCTCTTCAGAAGTCAAGAGTGGGGATGAGGAAACTGCAAATAATCTTGACCAGGGTTTTAAAAATGATAACCAGCATTTTGAATTGTACCCAGAAAGAAATTGGAGGTGGTGTAGCTCATGTAGAATGTAACGTGGGCAAATCATGGAGTGCACAGGACTATACATACTGCTACATTCTGGACCAGTTGTAGAATACATTGAGTAATCCAGTGGAAGTAACTCCTTGCAGTCCAGTACGGAAGATGATTGTACTTCACAAAGGGCCTTCTAGCAATGATTGACACCTGCTACTTGCGCAGGAGCTGTAGTCCAGGAACACTCCCAAATTGCACATCAATTCTCTCTAGGGGACTCCTATCCTGTCAAGAGTCAAAAATGACAACTTGGGATAGGGGCAAAATCCCAAAGCCACTCCATCTTGCTGGGATTGACTCCCTCTAGGCCTTTGTGTCCTCAAGTCACTGGGCAAGCACTTGAACAGCACCAACTGCCTGATGTGAAGTGGAGATGTATAATGGAGTATCATTGCATGGCGATGATACTGCTCCTCATGCCATCTACTTACTTCACCTAGTGGCTTCAGATAGATATTTAAAAAGTTAGAGATGCGAGCCATCAGACACCATACATAAGAGAAATTTGGGGCTAGGCTTCTCCCCAACTGTTGACCTCAACTGGAACTAGCCATGGAGAAAGGAGAGAACCACTAGAAAACAGAGACACTCCTAACCTCAAAGCAGCTCCAGAAAGATACCATGGCCAGAAAGTGATTCTCTAACACCAGATGACATTACCACTGACCCAAGACCTGTGGCTGAATCACAACAGTGACAATTGTTACAGTGGAACAATGTTGCCTTTCATGCAGGGAGCTTGGAGGAAATGCAAGCTGCCTATCCTTATTTTCAGATGCCTCTGAAAAAGTATTTTGCCTGTTTCTGATTCCTAGAGACTTGTTGGGAAACTTGTATTGCTTTCCCATGGTGGGAGAAAGGCTGACAGTGTTTACTTTGCAAAGTTCATGTACTTTAGTAATATTTGCTTATTAAAAACATTTTAGGAAATGTTTCAAAAGGTAGTTAATACCAGAGGTTTTATTTGTACGTTTTGTACAATTATGTCTTTGTTTGAAAGTTTATCATTTTATTGTTATGTAACTTACGTTAAACAAGTTACTGGAATAATTATGAGCAATATTAATATAATGTTTGATAAGCATTTTTATGTAATGCAGAATAAGTCCTCAACTGATATTTCAGAACCTGAGCCAAAGAAATTTGATGGCACTGGATATGATAAAGATTTAGTAGAAGCTCTAGAAAGAGATATCATTTCCCAAAACCCCAATGTTCGATGGTAAGTATAAACCATCTCTATCTTTTTAAGTTGTGAGATCTGTGTCTAAGCATGATGGATTTTTAAATTCATTCATTCATTCAATTTCTAAAGCTACCCATCTCAGTCAATGATTTTGGGCAGCTTACAATTGAAATTTCAATTGTAACTTGAAATACATAATGTTGCCTTTAGAGAAAATTAAATCTAGAAAGATATCATCCAATTCTAACAATGAACTTTCCCTCTTTCAGCAAAAAAAATAACTCTGCTAAGTGTAGGAAGGCAGACTGATTAATGATTTTTTTTTCTCAACAGTAGATTATTATGAATACATTTGTAATGCTGTTCTATGTTCCTTTTAAGCTGTAGCTTTGTCATCATGTTGCTGTTTTTGGTTTCAGGATAAACTGCTACCTCTATTGTCTGCCAATTAAGCTTTTTCTTAATTCAGTTTAGCACTTAATTCAGAAATTTGTAAAATCCCAGTGAGTAAGATGTCTCAGTAAGCAAGTCTGCTTCATCATTTTCATAAATTACTACCTCGATCAATTGTAGCCAGATTTAATTTTCTCTAGAGGCAACCTTATGTATTTCAAGTTACAAAGTATCCTAAACAGCAAATGGAAAAGTAGAGATGGCTGCTGTTTAGGATACTTTGTTAACAGTAAGCAATAGTTTATGTGACCTTTTAATTTCATATACCTTGGCCAAGAATGCTAACATTTTCTTGGAAACTGGTCATCATAGTTACAAGAACTGACATTCACTTTACATTTATTTTCTGGAAACAGATTATGAATTATGCTTGAATTTTATAAATCAATTTCAATGTGGAACAGGATAGTCTGCAAAAACTACAATAACCTTAGCATACTTTAATGTCTTCCCTACACCAGTTCTAGAGGGCAGCTACAAAAAAGAAATAATCCCTTATGAATAATCCCTTATGTTATGGAGACGGATCTATTGTGTCTATAGTCAATGTCATTTTATATTGTGTTTTTATAAGAATGTAAGAGAGTCTGCTTTCCACTTCTTATTTGGCAAAATACTGCAAGCACAACAAGCAATTTGGATTTATTCCGTGCACAAGTATTGCTGTCAGATCAAAATGGGTCAGTTTCTATGAATGTAGCCAAATTTTACTGTACTTTACTGTTCGTAAAGACAAAGCCTACTGTTTGTAGATATATTTTGATTGCATTGATGAGCTAGCTGTAAACTATACTATTTTATTTACTTCCATCTCATGTGACCATAATAAAGTACTGTAGTGAGCAGTTTTCAGTGAACAAATAGCGGCTTACTCTGTGGGTGTATTAATAGGCCCACCTTCTGCTATTGTTGTTCAAATGATTTCTGCAGAAAATGATCCTTAATGTACATACATATATGTATATGGAGAGAGTGAGAGTGAGAGGTTCCATTCATGAATGTCTATAGGAGAAAGATGTTGGCAGTGAGCAACGTTGGGATGGAAATGAGCATTCATGTGATGACCGTTCTGATTTTTGTAACACCTGAAAAAGATGGGATTCTAAAATAAAAATGTAAACGAATTGAATGTTGACTCTTTCCTGTGGAGTGAATTTATATAGAAAATAGTAATATTCTACTCTGAAAAAATCATGTATTCAGCCAAGATTACAGTGAAAGTTAATAGAGATGCAGTGCTTGTGGCAAGTCAAAATCTGTTCATTTCTTTTTCATCAGGGATGATATAGCTGATTTAGTGGATGCTAAAAAATTACTCAAGGAGGCAGTAGTTTTACCCATGTGGATGCCAGAATTTTTTAAAGGGATCAGAAGGCCTTGGAAGGTAAAGTCACCTCAATTATTGTTGAAACATCAAAATGGTTTTCATTGAGTTGTATTCAGTGTTAAGCTGGGGTGAAAAAAATGAAGGATATTCAGTCCCGTTAATGATTGTGCAAGCACTAGCTGGAAACAATGCAAATAACATAAGCCAGACTGGATTCCAATTATTGAATCTGACACTTGTACAAATATGTAATGCAAGGGTTTTGCAGCAAAATGATTAAACAGCCCATATAAAAAGTATTTTGTTTATATAATATTAAAGTAAGTTCATATAATCTAAAGGCTCAAAGCCATCACACTATGGCTAGAAATTTTCACTTGTCATTTGCCATGTAAGTAAAACAATTTCTGGTGACACAATGCCCTTTAACTGTTAGTAGAATTCCTAGCTCCCTTTGCTTTTATTTAAAATGCTTTCTTTAAATGAAATTATATAGTATTTCTTAAATTATATTGGCAAATAAACTTGAGATATTTTTAAATGAGTATTCATTTCAATTTCTGGTTCTCTTTGTAAACAGGGTGTATTGATGGTCGGTCCTCCTGGCACTGGAAAAACACTGCTTGCAAAAGCCGTAGCTACTGAATGCAAAACTACCTTTTTCAACATATCATCGTCAACACTCACTTCAAAGTACAGAGGAGAATCTGAAAAGCTTGTTCGCCTATTATTTGAAATGGTGATTTACTGATTTTGCTAAGTTTTAGGAATATTATTACTAGTGTTATTAATATATTTTTTTATCCTGGCTCTTTAATATGCCTAATATATCTTCCTCTCCCTGCTTTACCCACAGCAACAACCCCATGTGGTGGGTTGGGCTGACAAAAAGCAGTTGGCTCAAAGATAGCCAGCCTGTGTGTTTTCGCCTTTGGAGAGTATGAGAGCACAAAACAGAATAGGCAAAGTTTATGGACTAGGCTAGGGCATATTTGGAATTGTAAATTCATGTGATTATGCTCACAAATTGACTGTTATGGGGAAATTATTCACAAAATGTCAATCAGATTGAGTGTGATCAGTTATAAAATACTATGCTCTTTCAGCCCAGTGAAGAGCTGATTTAATAAGATGCTGTGCTTGCACTCCTGTGTGTTTTCAAGGTCCTCTTCCCAAACGAATCCAGAACATTACTGCTGCTGCTTGCCAATAGGACTCCGTCTTGCCCTTGGCATATGGCTGAAAGACCTGCCTTCCGGAGGATTTCACTCCATACTAAGCTGAATCTCTCTGGCAGGCAGCTCTTTTACACCTAGCTGGTTATTAATGACCGCAGCCAGGAGTGCCGGATTGTGGTCATTAAACAAAGTAGTCACATGAGATCTTGCTTAATGACCACTTCATTCAATGACCAAGATTCTGATCTCAATTGTAATTTGAGACTACCTGCAGTAGAAGTTACATTTTGGCAATTTATTTTGCATTGTGCTAATGTATTCCATTGTGATAGTGTATGATAGTGTATTTATTTATACCCATCACACACTGATTATTATTATTATAGTATTATAATAGTGTAGTCTGTTACCTAGAAGATTCCAAGCCAAATTACACATAACTCTAATTGTGGTTTTTATAAGGTACATGCACCCTATCATACTGTTGTTTTGAAGTCAAAATGTGTCAATGGGAGAATGTAATATAGGTTGGGACTGCAGTGGGTAGAAGAGATCAGCCTTTCCTACTGAAAATCATCTCAGAATAGATTTACTTGGTAATGTTGCTGTAGATCAGGGGTGTCAAACTGCTGGTCCGTGGGCTGGATGCGTCAGGCTGAAACCGCGCCCACCCCAGCTCTGCCAATGGGGGAAAAGTCATGATACGTCACAACACATCACGTGACGTGGCGAGTTTGACACCCCTGCTGTAGATAATACTGTTTTGGAACAGTAGCAGTTTGTTGGAATCATTTTTAATAAAATGTTCCTTCATCTTATATTTCCAGGCTCGGTTCTATGCACCAACAACAATATTTATTGATGAAATTGATTCCATTTGTAGCCGTCGAGGAACTTCTGAGGAACATGAAGCCAGCCGAAGGGTGAAGGCAGAATTACTTGTTCAGATGGATGGTAAACAAGCTTAGTTGAAAGTGTGCTAAGAAAAAAGTAGGAACTTCAGTATTATATTATAGTAGCAGTTGAGCATTAGTAATTATGCATTGCTCACTAAGACATTAAAATCCATTCAAATGTGTGCTTTGTTATTACAAGAAGCTCAGTGATAAGTTGATTTCAACTTTCAGTCAGTCTGAGATGCTGCTGCTCAAGGCCACCTTAACTCCAATTCTAGTTGGTTCCATTTATAGATAAATGGTTTCTTTGTGAATTTTAATTTTCATAATTTAGAATTCAAAAATATTTTTTTTTCTTGGATCAGAACACAGATATATGAATATAGTAGAAGAGTTTATAAGCAAAACTGTAAAGAAAGGCTTAGCAAGGAAATTGGTTCTTGGAAATGCCACATATATTTTACAAATCTCCAATTCTAATATGTTAAATTAGAACTTAATGAATTAGAACTTAAATAAGAACTTTTCAGATTGTGCAGACAAATTTGGTCGCCCATTTAAATGTTTCAAAACATCTGTAACTTGATTGACTCTAGTGTTAGAATCTGCACATGGATTTTTCAAATTCTCTCTCTCTTGTAAGATCACACTTTCAGAAGTTAGGAAACAAAGAATCAATTGGATTGAGATGGGCAGCTGTAGAAATTGTATGAGCAAATAAAATGTGTAAGAGGCATATATTTAAGTATCTGTCCAGCAAAAAACAACCCACAAACCAGAATGTCTCAGAGGTATATCAAATATTATTGCATATTATAAGCAATTGAATACTCTCATTAGTATAAAGCATTTGCATTAAAGTTTAAACCCGTTACCATGAATGTGGGTAATTAAAATTTAGCTTCAATGTAATGACATAACTTCCTGATTTGCAAACTTGAGCATATATTACTTTGTATTGCCTTTTAATTTTTTTCTTGTCTTTTAATAATAGGAGTGGGAGGAGCTTCTGAAAATGATGATCCTTCCAAAATGGTGATGGTACTTGCTGCTACTAATTTTCCATGGGATATTGATGAAGCATTACGACGACGCCTGGAAAAAAGAATTTATATTCCTTTGCCATCAGGTATAAACTCTTCTATTTCAGAAAAATCCAATGTAGTTGGCACATCCTAAATTTTTAATATCAAGTGCATATTTGATAATTGCCCTTTCTAGGAAGCAAGAACAGTGATTTTGAGAATGAATATTTCCAGATGGAGTTTAGACAAAGTATCCTCTTAGTCCTTACCCTTACATTTACATGCAAAGTCTTAAGTAGCAGGTTAAGATTCTAAGACAGGGGTCTCCAACCCCCGGTCTGTGGACTAGTGCCGGGCCGCGGCATGCCAGCAACTGGTCCGCACAAACAAGGAAAGCCCCATCCACGGGATGCAGGCAGCACACAAAACCACACCCCCATCCGGTCCACAGAAAAACCTCTCTCCGCTTAACCGGTCCCTGGTGCCCAAAAGGTTGAGGACCTCTGTTCTAGGATAACAAACTAAGTATATTTGAGTGGTCCTGTTCAAAGATTTTGGTGTTTTAAATTAAAATTGGGAATTATATAATTGAAACGTTTTTAACCATGTTATTTAAGGGTTAAAGGATGCTTTTTCTCCATGTTTCATTTTGGTTATTTTTCTTTGCTAAGCCAAAGGCAGAGAAGAGCTACTCAGAATAAATCTACAGGAATTGGAACTTGCTGATGATGTTAATCTTGTCATTATTGCACAGAATATGGAAGGTTATTCTGGAGCTGACATTACAAATGTGTGCAGGTATGTTAAAACCGCACCGCTTTTATTTTATTATTTATTTTATTATTTTGAAGGCACTAGTCCTAATCTTATACCATACAGTACAAATACTGGTTCTGTAAAAGAACTAAAAGCAGTAAAAAAAATAACTTTAGAGAGAGGATTTTTTTTTAAGAAAAATTTGTTTTTGATTGATTGAGCCATACTGAGAGTTCATGTGCATGTTACACTAAGCCAGTGTTTCTCACTTTTGGTGACTTTAAGATATACAGACTTCAACTCCCAGAATTCCCCAGCCAGCATGATCAAGTAACATTATTATTTAGTGTGATGGTGTGGACAGGCCAGATTAGAATTCCTTTTTCCACTTTAAGCTATTATAGTTTCATTAGTATGGACAGATTGGCTTAATCCTGAGGAGTAAAATGACATGCCAGGATCAGTAAAGAAACTTTGCTGCCTGGCAAGGAAATCCTCTGAGAAAAGCACCCTATCCTTGTGTCAGGTTAAGTCCCTAGCCATCTCTTTAAAGCTGATCCTAAAGATTGCTATGCTGGCTTGTGTTCCACTCCTCCTCCTTTCTCATTGGGTTATTCCTGCTCATTTTGCATCTGTTTTTATTTTTCTGCCCATTCCTGTTCATCTGAGGATAGTTGTTTGCTCTTTAATCTTTATCACCTTTCATTCTACAATCTGCAAATTACATTCTGCTTAGCAATTTTTTTTAAATTGCCACATTGCCTATTTTTATATTCATAATTCTATCCATTTCTATTTCATCCTTTTCCCTTGCACATTTATTATTTCCTCTCCTTATCCATTTCACTTATTTTCTCACTTTGTTTCCTGCTTCTCTCCATTTTTTTGCTTACTTGTTCCATTTACTGCCTCATTTTTATTTGGGGGTGAGAAATCTTTGGCTCCCTTAGATGCTGCTGAACAACTGCTAGTAGCACAACCAATGATTGAAGAAGATGGGGGGGGGGGTTGGAGAAAAAGATCTGGTTTATCATAGATTCTGCATATCCACACTTCTACATTTCAGCTTTTTTTCACTTTGTGACTCTTATCAAACCTGAACAGAATAATAGGGGTCAAGGGAATCCAAATTGGTATATTGAAAATATGCCGTTACTCTCTTTGTATTTTCAAATTGTGGTGCCGTCATTTCATCTTCTTCCAACTTTCTATATGTTACTTGGAGCACTAGCTCATGCAGAGGGGCCACAGGTATGCTTATTGAGCCTGTTGGTGCCTTCTTAGAGACCCAGCAACTTTTCCTACATTCCTATGGCAGCCATGCAGTCCCCAGGAAAATACGTCTTTTGGTTCAAGAATTTTGAGGGTACATCCATACTTCCCAGAGTTCATTTTCTTTGCTTTGGATTCAAATACAGGTAGTCCTTCAATTATGACCAGATGCTTAGCAACCGTTCAAAGTTACAACAGAACCCCCCTCCTAAGGTACTTAGAACCCAGTTCAAAGTCTGTTCCCCCCCTCCCCCAGGACACATAACTACATTTCGGGAGCTTAGCAACTGACCCACATTTATGGCCATTTGCAGCGTCCTATGGTAATGCAATCACAATTTAGGACATTTTTGCCGAAAACCAGCATTTGAAAAGCTGAAGCTGTGCTTTATGTTTGCCATTAAAGAACTTATTTTGCATGAAAAGCTGGGTCTTCTCATTATTACATACCATGTTATCCAAATATTTCCAATAGTATTACTAAAAGCCAAAGTTAACCACTCACAATTCAGTTAATTTGACTTTTAAGACCTATGAAGGCACCTGCCATCTGGAATGAGATTCCCTCTGAGATTTGGGTGGTTCCCATCTTAATGACATTTCAGAAGGCTTTAAGGACATTTTTTTTTTCTCCCAGGCTTTTGGCTAGCATGATTGGAAGCCTTTGTCATGTATGTGATATGTTGTTTTGGCTGGATCTGCCATCTGTTTATTGCTAAGTTTTTATCTGGCTTGTGAGTCTGTTGTTGTCTTGTTTTTATGCTGTAAGCCACTCTGGATTGGGTAGATTTTAAGTAGAAATAATAAATAAGCAAGCAAGCATTCCAAGGTTTAGATATGGTTAAAGCAGCTTTTTAATGTTAATTGTTTGGCATTTCTGTATTCTCATTAAAGACACATGTGGGTTTTTTATCAACAGAGATGCTTCACTGATGGCTATGAGAAGGCGTATTGAAGGCTTGACACCAGAAGAAATCAGAAATCTTTCCAGAGATGAAATGCACATGCCAACAACAATGGAAGATTTTGAAATGGCCTTAAAAAAAGTTTCAAAATCAGTCTCTGCTGTGGACATTGAGAAATATGAGAAATGGATTTTTGAATTTGGATCATGTTAAGTCTTACTACCTTGAGAAATCTGCCTTAAGTATTCAAAGAGTTCCAAAAGTAATGAAAAAGTAGTACTCCTGGGTGCTCAGTGCTATTTTTTAACTTTTTGTAACAGCATATATAATAAAGTTAGTTTTTTAAAGTACAGCTCATTTTTTCCCCTCTTAGTCCAATTGTCTAGACCAGTTCCCATTAAAGATTTTCTGCATTTTTTGGATCAATAGGTTCTTGCAGCCATACTTGTACTGTTTCTTGGCACACTAGACTATCACGTGCAACATTTCCACATATATCACATATTTCCATTTTGGTGGTTATGTTTTTAAAAGTAGTCATTGTTAAAATGTACAGTTTGGTCAGTTTTTCAGGAAATCAGCATACATCAAACAAGCCGGTGAAAAAAAACCTTTGTCATTGAAAAAGTTGTCTCTCCTCTTTACTTTGTCATTGAAAAAGCAAGTATTTTAAATCACAATTAGAACTTAACACTAATTCAATATTTATCTCACGTAGATTTAATGTGGTGGTGGAACTGAACAGAAAAGAGAGGGCACTAGATTTAATCCTTAGTGAAACCCTAAGCGTTCAATCAGTTAAGAAAAGCATTCTTAAATTCAATGTGAATGTAAATAAAATATTGGCAAAAAATACATTGCATTAAGGTTCCAAGAGATTTCTTAAGGGGAAATTGTACCAGGAGAATATGAATTTTAAAAATCTTTGTGATTACTATTTTTCATTAATCTTCCAGTAATGAGCACTTGGACACAAAGAATATCACAGCTTAGTAGAGGCACTAGCTAGATGAAAAGGATGCCAGCATGGCTAAAAGGCAGAGTCAAGAAAATGATAAAAGACCAGAAGCAACTTTTCAGAAAAATGACAGTGCGTCACTTGAAGCTTATATATTCTATATTTACTGCCAGAATATATATGACTTTAAAAGGAGAACAACCAAATATATGCCAGTCAGTCCCAACAACGGAATAATGACAAAGTTAGGGTGATAGGTTTATTTGAACAGGAATTGCACAAGAGCACAGTGAGTGACAGCTGCTGTTTTCAAACTTAAAGCTGCTTGAGGGGCATCTAGATGTCCCATACAGAAAATAAGACATTTGAAGTAAATATTGTAGATCAGCGGTCCCCAACCTTTTGGGCACCAGGGACACGTTTCATGGAAAGCATTTTTTTCCATGGACTTGGGTGGTGGTGGTTTTGGTTTTACTCGCCCACCACTCACCTCCAGCTATGCAGCCCAGTTCCTAATAGGCCGCAAACTGGTAATGGTCCATGGCCCATTACCCCAGCTATAGCTCTTCCATCTGACCAACTAATATTCTATTTTTAAAAAAATACTTTGGAAGTTTTCAATTTTACAGAATGTTCACTTAAAAATGTTTTATACTACTCATCTTGCTTGCTTCAAGTACTAAGCTACCATCTGGTAACCAATAGCTTAACCAGTACTTAGCTTAAGTGCTCTGGGTCTGCTGAGATCACAGCACATTCATCCAAATTTGCTATGGCCCAGCAGTTTCACTTCTATTGAGTTTGAGCTTTGCTAGATCTTCCACATGCTTCAACCAAATTTCTTTAAGAGCTGGTCGTGTATTTTTCCAACCCATGGCATGATTTCCAGAGTAATCAATAAGAAAGTGGGCATTACGTTATGCAGCAGATGTGCCCAAATGATTGCATCCAGTGCTCCAGAACCTCATCAGCTATTATGGGCTGGTTGCAACATCTGTTTCACTTAACCTTTTGTCATAGACTGAAGTCCCTAATATATACAATTATAGAAATGGTAGCCAGCACATTTGGAAAACATCTTATTTTTTTTTTCAAATTAGTTTGAAGCAAGATTCTGCACCACATTCAGCAGCACTGTCACTATTAATATTACCAGGAATTGCATTTTGGCTTTTTCACCAGGGCAACATATCGGCACTCTGAAGACTGATGCAATCTGGCTGATTTGATGACTTGACAACTGAAGCAACAATTATCTGTTCTTGGACAACTTAGATATTTAAATCATTAAAGTTGCTCAAGCTGAGCTCTATCAAAGTTGATGGTTGCCCAAGATTCATTAGTTATGAATATCTTGGTTTTGTCATAACAAATGGTTAAGCCACATGGTTAAGCAACAGAGGTTTATACAGTGGTTAAAGGTACAGGGCTTGAAACCCATGGCTTCTAGTTCTGTCTTAGGTGCAAAACCAGCTGTTGACTTTGGGCCAATCCCTCTTTCAGCCCTAGGGAAAAGGCTTTTTTTAAAAAAAAAATGGCACTATTTCCTATTTTGTTTTTAAGTATTAGATACAATCTAATCTATCACCACCTAATGTGCTTCAGCAGTGACATCAACTGTTTCACATTCTTTAACTGATAGATGGCAGCCTTTGAGATTCTGTGCTCATGTTTTTCAATGCTGCCATCTAAACTATCAACAGGTTGTACTGAAATGTCTTCTAGAACCATTTTAAAGCAATGGGATATAATTGCTTCCACAACTCAGTTATTCAATTCTAGAGCACACAATAGTGCCATGTGCCTTTCTGATGTGTCTTCCATTGAAAGGTACACTAAGGCAGCAACTGCGATATTCTTGGTGATGTGCAGCTTCTTTTTTGAGTTCTACAATGTTATTTTAATATTCTTGAAATAAATGCCTGTGTTGGTATAACAATCAGCAAAAGTGGAAAAATGTCTTAGGTAAATTTAGTTTTGGAGCAATGAACATCAATGGATTGTGCCTCTCATTTAGCAAATGTGCTAACAACTCGACACACCTTATTTCAGCATTCACCAAAACATCAACATAGTGTTTACATACAGGAAAGGAAACATGAACTCTATACTATTTCCTGATTAGCAGCATTTCCAAACACCAATTATGGATTTTGATACATGAGAAAGTGACTTACAACTCAGTTAAAACAAACTGCTTGTAATATAGTCCTATCCAAACATTATGGACAGTTGAAGCCACAAAATCCTACTTAATATTTATCTACCACTAGAACATGATAAGACTACTTGGCAAATGCAATGAACTGGATCCAGATTTGCTCCCTGTTCAAATTTGAAAAAAGAACTTTACGTGGTGTCCAGTTTATATCAAGAAGCAAATTTGCAATAAGATCTGATGATCTTACGAATCAGTATATAAAAATGCTCTGAATTTATACAGTACTTTTAGACAGTTTGTACTCCTGGATGAAAGACATTTGTAGTGTATTGTAAGTTTTTAAGAAGCACATTTTTACAAATGTTCATAAATTCAGTAGGAAAAACCCTGAAAGTGCTTACAATATCAAGATTATTTTTTGGAAAATTCAAACAAAAATTGCACCACTGTTTATTATCAGAGCAGTATGAAAACTCTTTTGCTTTTGACTTCTCCCATAAGGCACACTTAAAGGCCTAAAATAGCTTTTAGGATTATCACAAGTCTATACTCCTGTTGATGCTACTTATTCTGTTCCATTAGTCTGAGTCAAATTTCCTGGATTAGCCCGGTGTGTCCTGTAGCCAGTAGTTGGGAAGATACAGGGTATCATTTCAGGGAGCAGGAAATTATTTCACTGAACTTAGAACTTATTGAAGTTCTTTTGTAAGGAAAGTTTTTGCGGTCAAGAATACAGTATATTATAATGGTTGAAATGAAAAAAAATCCAAAAATTATTCTGGGCCTCAGCCTTAATTGTCCTTTAAATATGAATCATTCATAAATTTAATAAAAACAGCAGGCTGAGAACTGTTGTGAAATCAACAGTTCCCAAACTAGAGTCCTCTAGATATGTCACAACTGCAATTATTTATGAATACTGGGAATTGTAGTCCCAAAGTCTAGAGGGCAGTACATTCGGAAGGCTGAATTAAGTAATATATTAAGATCCAAGTGCCAAGTTCATTAGGTCAACAAACTCAAATAATTACTCATGTTTTTTTAAATACATTTTTCCTCTATGTTGTTTATCTTCTCTGGAATAGCTGGAAGTAAACTTATTGCAGCCACAGGGATGACATTGGCATCAAGTTGAAGGATTCCCCTAAGGGAAAAAAAAGTCAGTTAAAATACTAACTTCAGAAATATGATCACATATAAACATTTCAACTTCACAGTTAAAAACAACTCGGGAAAAGTGTTTCAAAATCTAAAATCAGATCATTGGTTTCTGAAAATGGCCTACATAAACTTCAAAGATTAAAATGTAATTAAATCTTGTTTCAAAGAATTCTCAGGATGAATGCTATCTAGAAAAAAAACCATCCATTCACCTGCCTCTTTCATTATCCGTACTCCCGGAGGACTAACATTGTCATCTAAATGATTTATAAGAACTGGGGCTAGGGTTTTCCTTTTCTTCATTTATTTCCTCATCTTCTTTTTCTAGTGTGCAATGAGAAATTAGTACCTCAAACAATCTGCTACTTGCCACAAAGCAGTCATGACCCACTTATGTATAATAATATATGAGTGGGTGCCATGGTGAATGCGCCCTTCCACAGGTGGGACTCCTTCAGCCATTAGAGGTTTCAAAACCGTGAGAGGGATGCTAATGGCAAGCTGTTGGCCCCTAAGTCTGAGCAAGTAAGAGATATTGATTGATAAGCTTTCAGGATGATTTACCATAAATTTTTCAGAGCTTTTCTGAGGCTCCCTAAGAAAAAAAAAAATCTGACCTGTCTAATGACTCTGGGCCAACTGCTAATTTGTGGACACTCGTGCTCTTCATTTTTCCCAATTATATTGAAATGGGTGTACAAAGGAGAAGGACTCCTCTGGACTATTGTTGTGTATCTGGCTCCTGTTTGCAATTACTGGAAGAACGAAATCAATTCTGTCAACTAAAGCATCTCGTCTTTATCTGATGCTGCTTTTATGGGGCTATGGAGGGATGGGGAGAGTATCTTTCCTCCCCTTCCCACTTAGTGTGCATGCTCTAAGCCAGGGGTAGTCAACCTTGGCTCTTTTATGACTCGTGGACTTCAACTCCCAGAATTCCTGAGCCAGCACAGCTGGCTCAGGAATTCTGGGAGTTGAAGTCCACGAGTCATAAAAGAGCCAAGGTTGACTACCCCTGCTCTAAGCAAAGCTCTTGCCAGAGGAGGGAAAGATGAGGGAGAAATCCATCTAGCATCCTCACTTTTTGAATCATCCAGTGATTATTTCCCATTAACAATTAATATTCATAATTTAATTGTTTGGATGTATAAGGCCATCAAATCAAGACCCAAGGTGTCAGTTCCTTAACCTTGGGGTTATATAAAACTTGTGGATTAGTTTTGTTTTTATCCATTTAATTAGCCTAAGCTTGAATAAATATACTATATGAAACCTCTATCGCCAAAGGAAGTTTGTTTTGAGATGAAAGAAACTTTAAAAGACACTTACTTGCTTTCACACGAGGGACAAAACATTTTTAATATTTTGATGATTAAAGTTGCCCCTACAACTCCAACCACGACGACTTCCATAAAATTAAAGAACACAGGAAAAGACTTGAGCCAAAATGTACAAAGCTCCTTTCTCAGATCTTCCACCCACTGGCACATCACCTGCAAAAATAACAACACGGCCACTGAAATCCAATAAGGACACCTGCAAAAGCCCATTTTTCTGTGGTCGTTTGTTGCATCAATTTATAATTCACACTTCTGTCACGATGTGGGAACTTCACATCTGTTGCTTGTCTTTACAAACATTACTCTTTTGCCCCTTAAAAATTCCTTGGCCTATTTTCCCACATCTTCTATTGTTTGAAGTAATCTCCTAGTCTCACTGTTCAACTTCTTTTTAACTAAGCCCCTACATTCATTTCATTTTTTATTTTGTTTTTCTCAAGTTAACTTTGACCCAGCTGAAACTTTATAGCCCCTTTCACATATACCTAACCGGGAACAATGTCACGAAAACAAGGAAAGCCAAGTCCCTGAAATTGAAATAAACTTTTCTGATAAATATTACCTTCTCTGTGGCTTCCAGGGAATAAATAACTGTAGGGGAATTGGGGCGGGTTTATGAATTCTGTGGTCTTTTGTTTCAATACTACCAAACTCAATGGGTCAGCTGTCTGGCTTAGTAGACAGGAAGTGGTTCTGCATACCACCAGTGGCACAAACACTCTATATGCCAGCGGTTCTCAACCTATGGGTCGCGACCCCATTTGGGGTCAATCGACCATTTTACGGGGGTCGCCAAGCAAGGCTGTCCGCCATTTTTTTTGTCCGCCATTTTTTTTTTCCTTTTCCAGCGGGTGCCTTACCTCCCTTGGGCTGGGCCAGCTGGTGGTCGGCCTGCTCCGTCTCTGCCGCTTGCCAGCTACGCCTCAGCCGGCGCAGGGGGTGGAACCACGCATGCGCGGCGCTCCTGGGCAGGAAAAGTCCTCGACTTACGACCGGTTGGGTAGTCCTCGACTTACGACCGGTTTAGTCCTCGACTTACGACCGGTTGGGTAGTCCTCGACTTACGACCGGTTTAGTCCTCGACTTACGACCGGTTGGGGGTCGTGGCATTAAAAAGGTTGAGAACCACTGCTATATGCAATTCCAGATCCTGTCTCTTTTCATCTGACCTAGGCCATGTTGAGTTCGGCCCAGCCATCCTTTTGCCTTCTCTCTCTCTCTCTTTCTCTCGGTCCTGCCCTCCCCCCACCTGCATTTCTAGGGCAAAGAGAAGCTGCACTTGTCACCAGTCCACCAGGGCCCAAAACGATGCTGCAGTGGGTTTGGGCTAGTAGCCAGTCTAGTGCTACTGCTGAGCCAAAAAGGCTATCAGCTGCCCTATAGCTATCTGGGAGCACCTTACTCTTTTTATAATCTTTGTGGTGAGCAGGCATGCAACCTAGTACTAATTTCAGGGGAGCTTGATTGTTCTGGATGGGTGAATTTAGCAGCTGCCAATCAGACAGAAATCCATCAGGGGCCTAGCTTCTGTTGGGAGACACATTTAAGTCCTGGCTGAACTTCTACCTGATCTGTTGCTTATGGGTGTTCCTCACTTAACATACACTCATTCAGCAACTATTCGAAGTTACAACAGCAGTGAATGAGGGGTAATGATGACAGGTCTTCATAACTGGGACCGCCCCACGTGATTGTAATTCAGGTGCTCAGTGATAAGCCCACAATTACAACATTGTGGTGGGCTGCAGTCATGTGATTGTCACTTGCAACCTTCACTGCTGGCTTCCAACCAGTGAAATTGATGGGGAAGCTGACAAGAGGTCACTACTGGCAAACACATGACCCCAGTACAGTGTGACCATGAGGGATTCAATAACGATGGCAACTAAAACTGCTGGAACTGCCATCATAAGTCAGCACAGTCATATGACATCATGCCTTACAACTGCATTGCTTAGCGGGAGAGTTCCTGGTCCCATCTGTACTAGTTTTTCAGAGTAGCCTTATCAGAAGAAACTCAAGCTAGTAAACTGTTAGCCACCTCCATGAGCATCAGGAAAATTGGGAGACTGTGAGTCATAGTTCTGCTTGAGTCACAAAGCAAGGTAGGTAACCTTGGGCCAGTCACTCTCTCTCAGCCCTAGGAAGGAAGCAAATGCAGACCATTTCTACAATCTTGCCAAGAAAACTGTGGGGACTAGTTGATATACCAATAAAGGAGAATATTTGTAGCTCAGGATTGAAATGAGGGGTTCTTGATGCTCTCTGAGCTTCATTGTTTTCTTGCAGATGGTAACATCATTGGCTGTTGCACTGATGATGTTACTTAGATTGGATAATGAAACATCTTCAAGAAAACAACCAAGCTCAGAGAGCGTCTCACTAGTTGAGATACTCACCAGTTGTCAACACTGACTCGAAGGCACGCAAACACACACATACACATAGCCATGGGAGCATCAGGTGAAGGGGGAATGGGGGAGATGCCATAATCTGAACACGACAGTCATGTCTGTATGACTGAAGTTGCACTCCTTAGTATATGTACCATATGCATGTAGAAAGGGGGAGGACTTCAAGTACACAATTGCAACCCCATCTGAACTTTTTTACCTCCCTTCTAATTACCACTTGTTTCCATGCCTTTTTATTTTTCTTGGACTTACAGTAGTTTCTCTGATGGCACTTAGCAATAGCAATAGCACTTAGACTTCTATACCGCTTCACAGTGCTTTACAGCACTCTCTGAGCGGTTTACAAATATCAGCATATTGCCCCCAACAATCTGGGTCCTCATTTTACCGACCTCGGAAGGATGGAAGGCTGAGTCAACCTTGAACCCGGTGAGACTCGAACTGCCAAACTGCAGGCAACTGGCAGTCAGCAGAAGTAGCCTGCAGTACTGCATTCTAACCACTGCGCCCCCAGGACTCTTCTTGATAGAGTGACTGAGAAGATACCAGACACACCAGGCAACAATAATTTCCTCACATATCCATTAACTCAAATTAGATGAACATATTTACCATTCACAATCATTGTGACAAAAACATACCTTATAAGATGATGGTGACTCTGTTCTGAGTGGAGTCTCTGGCAATTTGCCAGGCATTGTCTGTTCATCTACAGTAGTTTCTACTTGCCTGAGAAGATAGTGACTGGTAGTTTGTAGAGGACTTTCAACATCTATTTTATAAAAATAAAAAAGATAGGTAGGTAGGTTGGTTGTTTTAAAAAACAATGCTGCGAGCAAGTAAAAAGAAGCAGGGTATGGACAAGAAATAAAATCCAAAAGTGCAAAACTATTTAAATCCTTTATAGAATGATGGGGTTGATATAGACCTTTGGTCATCTGTTCCAACCCACATTGCTGCTTCATGTTTAACTTCCAATTGACAAGGGCGCTTTTCTTTTAAGTAAAGAGACAGGCTAAGTAAAGAGACAAGTAAAGGGACAGATTAAGCCAGGTTTCCTCCATCCCATGCTAAGGGGCCTTATATTTTTCCTATAAAGATATAACATTTTACATATTTCCATTCTATTCATTTTGGCCCACTGCCTAAGTTGCCTAGATCTTTTTTTTTAAATCTTCTTTCATGTAAAGTTTTAACCAAATCTCCCAGTTTTATGATATCGGCAAATTTGATAAGGATTCCCTAACCCAAGTCATTGATACAAGTGTTGAACAATGCAGGGGCTAAGACAGAGCCTTCTGGCCCTTGGCTCGATGCTTCTGGCCAAGCTGAAGTGGAAGCATTAATGAGCACTCTTTGGATAGGCTGGTTCAGCCAACTATGCTATCATCTAGTCCAGCGGTTCTCAACCTATGGGTCGCGACCCCATTTGGGGTTGATCGACCATTTCACGGGGGTCGCCAAGCAAGGCTGTCTGCCATTTTTTCCCCCTTTTCCGGCGGGTGCCTTACCTTCCTTGAGCTGGGCCAGCTGGTGGTCGGCCTGCTCCGTCTCTGCCGCTTGCCAGCTACGCCTCGGCCAGCGCAGGGGGCGGAATCACACATGCGCGGCGCTCCCGGGCAGGGAAAGTCCTCGACTTACGACCGGTTTAGTCCTTGACTTACAACCGGTTGGGGGTCGCGGCATTAAAAAGGTTGAGAACCACTGATCTAGTCCAAGGTCTCTCAACCTAAGCAACTTTCAGATGTGTGGATTTCAATTATTATAATTCCCCTAGGAATTGAAGTCCACACACATCTGAAACTTGCTAGGAGAGAAACACAGACTTGGCCCATGTTTTAATTTTTCCTAAGACCATTATGAAAGAATACAAATAAAACAAAACCAATTGTACCCCATATTAATTTGACTTGCCTATAAATAGAGGCCAATTTATGGCTATTGATGTGACCATCGATTTTTTTGAGTGGTAGAGTCATTAAATCCAAGGTAAGAACTTTCTGATCATTGCTTGCATTATTTTATATATATACAGTACCTGGCTATGATATTCTTAAAAAATCCATACCTAAAAAGTCCATGAACTCTGAAAGATTCCAGATACAGTTAACAACGAATCAATTTAATCAACTCCCTTCTTATGAAGAACTCTCAAAAAAAAAAAAGTCTGAACCCTTAAGTAAAATGACCAGAAATAAATTCAATAGCATCTTTTTAAAGAAAAAAATAAGAATCACTTACATGAGATAGGTGGGTATAAATGAATAAATGAATGATTGAATAAATAAATAAAACAAAGTCCAATTCTTGCAACTCAACAAGACTGAGTACCTTTTCCTGCAAAGTTTGGAAGTGTAAACAAAATATCATTGTTCCTTGGGCTGGAATACAGCATGCTTTCCTCCAGAGGCACGGTGTAATTTGTATGTCTCAGGACTTGCTGATCCTTTACCAATAGGTCTATTTCTATCACTTCATCTTGTTTAACCTGCAAAAGAAGTGTAACAATGGGAGCTATTTTCTTATTCACACGTGTTGGGAATGTCAAGCTTTTTTTCTATCAGAGCAAGTATTGCAAAAAGTGATTTCAAGATGAAAAGTTGATTTTGTTTAAGTCATAGCTAAATGAGCTCCTACCCTTTTTCCCCCCTCACCTCATGAAGTACATGAAATATTAGGAGGAAATGCTCTCTGGTTGTTATTCATCATATTCATATTGATATCATATATATTGTATATCATATCATCAGGGAAAGCAAATGGCTCCCTTTTTAGCATCAATGTGGATTATGTTTTTTCAGTGAGAAACAAGGTAAGAAAAAAGTAGAATGTTGCCTTTCAAAACAATCAATCAAAAGAAACACAGATGAATTCTGAACCCAAACATTATTTCTACATTTATACTGTTTGAGTGAATGATATGAATTCTGAATATTTTTAGAGGCAAAATAAAATATAACCCAAGAGTTACTACTGTATTATTTAATTAGAAATTTATAAGTAAATTGTGACTAAAGATGGGACTCCAAGAGAGACATACATTTGTATTCCCCAGTTTACAATATTTAACACTGTTAATTTTTGTTCATATTTGGAGGCTTTCTTCATTATTTAGGGCTATTCTTTATTTTAGATAACTTTATGCCTTTAGGAAGGGGCAGCATACAAATTAAGTAGATACCGGTAAATAAATATTCCATCTTCATTTTAGGAGGTAGAAATAATATTTTCTCCCTCTATTTTCTTTCTTCCCCAGTAAAACCCTCATGTCAGATCAGTTGATCTGAAAAGAGGGACTGGCCCTAAGGCACCTAAGTGAGTTTTTCTTCTGAAGGATTCATTTGCACCTGGATCTTCCTAGTCCTATCACCTTACCCATTACAGTCTACTGGCTTGGCCAGACTGAAGAAATCAATGTGTTCTTTTCTAGCTAGCCCACAGTCCCCATCGTTATTTTGGCACAGGTAGCCCTGTGCATGAATTGCATCAGCATCTCTTAAAAGGCACTGCTAATTCATTGCCAAAAGTCATAGGATACAAAGGAATGATTATAAGCTGCCATTTCTCTCTCCTTAATTTAGACAAAGAATATTCAATATAAATCTCTAACAGCATTTTGTTTTATTTGCAGTTCGTTTCCTAATTATAGGTAGTCCTTGTTTAGCACCCAGAATAGGGGTCAGCAAATTTGTTGCCAAACACCACAGTCACTAAGCGAAAAATCATGTGAGCACAACCGGCCTGCAACAATACTTCTCACTTGGTTGTTAAGCAAAACATCATATGATTGCAACTTGCAGCTTTACTTCTGTCTTCTTTACCCTGTTTGTCAGAAGCATGTTTCTTTCCTCCATTTTCTGGAGATACGTAATATATATAAACATTCTTAAAATATAAGAATTATATAAATACTATCAAAATTCCTGCAAAAAAAATTACAAAAATATATGAAGGGTGCTATCTTTGAGGGCTTTTTTAATAAAAAGTAATTACATATTTTAATACAAAAGAGGACACAGAACTGTATAACATCAGGCAGCAGTATTTTTGGCTTGTTGGCCAAGATAAACCATAGAACTAAAATGTGTGATCATTCAACAATCTTCCGCCGTGGATTTATACCTAAGCTAGTAAATAAAATGATTTATAAAAAGAATACTTGCCTGTTTTTCATCTATATCTGTCACTTCTTCTTGAACAACAATCAATTGCAAGTTGGAGCTGGATGCCAATGGCCATTCGTGGATCATAATGCGAACGCTGACAATTCCTAACTGCTTCTGATCCAATAAGGTATCATGGTTTCCATTCTTCACTATCAACAAATAACTGTATGTCATATAGTCGCCATGCAGAGAAACAAAATATCTAAAAACAAGTTACACAATAAAACAGTGTTGCAAACTGGATTGGATGTCATATTGTAAATCGGTACGGAGTTAATATACCTAGCTGATATAAATTTCACAGTTATTTTTAAGAGAAATGACAGAGGGCTAAATAGACTATTAAAATGGAAACAGGAATATTTTCTACTTTGTAGATTGTCTTCTGCAAAGATCATCTTTTGCACAATTACATTTTCCCACTCTCTCTTCTTCCTTCCTGCCCTGAGGGCAGTTCCTTTCTTCCCAAATCTGCTTTGTAGGTTCTTCAACTCATTAAGTGAAGTTGAATACCCCTCTCCATACTATTTGATAGAAGCTACTGAATTACTAGGAGAAGCTAACTTTATATAACCATTCTTACACCTAAAGGAAAAATTAGAAAATCCAGCAGTCCCACCTGTCCTATGTGGGCCACAGAAATCACTGAATAAAAGAGCTGACCGAAGGTATTTTGATTTACATTTAATATTTCAATCCAAAATAAAGCATCCATAATTTGAGCCACCACACAACATATGGAATAGCACACTAAGTGACAAGCTCTTAGACGATTTTCTCCTCACTTTCAAATGGAAACTTTCTTCCTATAATATAATTCTGTAGCTCACCGCTACCATGCTAACACCCAACTTTCTTTCCAGGCCATGTACACTTACATTGATTTCAGTAAAATAGTAATTAGTGTTGCCACTGTATTAAATTAAATTTGCATAAAACACGACTATCATCAGGATGTTTGTGTGGCAGAGAAGCCTTGGCATTTATTATGCACAACTGAACTGAGATCCAGTTTTGGAGTGTCAAGGACTTGCTCCCATGGCTTTCGATATTATGAGTAATGAATCTCCCTAATCTGACTTCCTCCCATTCCATTTAATCCAGTAAAGTCAGCGACGATTTGCAGTCAAACATTCTGCTTCGTGTATCTGGGGAAAAACATGTGGCACCGTATCATGAGATCAGGTGATTCTCTTCAGAATTTAATAGAAATTCAGAGAACTAAAGGCAATTAGCTATTACATTATCTCAAATGAAATTTTGTTTGAGCACTAAATGAAATGTACACTTTTCCACAGTGAAAACCCCATGAAACGAGAAAGACTTTGTCTCTTTAGATCATGGGTGTCAAACTGCTGGCCCGCAGGCCGGATGTATCATAGCAAAACCGTGCCCACCCCATTGCCAGCAATGGCAAAAAAAGTCATGATACGTTGCGACACATCACGTGATGTTGCGAGTTTGACACCCGTGCTTTAGAGTATACAGGTAATCCTTGACAATTGGAACCAGAATTTTGTTGCTGAGCAAGGTGATTGTTGAGGGAGTCACGCCCAATTTTATGACCTTTTTTGCCATGATTATGTGAATCACTGCAGCTATTAAGTGAATCATGCAATCATTAAGTGAATTCGGCTTCTCCTGTTGACTTTACTTGTCAGAAGCCAAACTAGGGAGATTGCAAATGGCAATTACGTGATACCAGGATGCTGCAAGCATTATAAATACACACCAGTTGCCAAGCAGCAAAATTTTGATCATGTAACCGTGCTGGAACAGTTAAGCGTGACGACCAGTTGTAAGTTACTTTTTGTAATGCCATTGTAACTTTGAATGGTTGTTAAATGAATGGTTATAAGTTGAGGATTACCTGTACTAGATTTAATTTGACGCTAAAAAGCACAGAAGAGATACCTTTAAAAAGGCCACAATGAACCACTGTTGGGATTCACTTCTTCTGCAGCATCTTTTTATGCATATTGCTCTAAACCAGGGGTGGGCAACCTTGGCTCTTTTATGGCTCATGGACTTCAACTCCCAGAATTCCTGAGTCAGCTATGCTGAGTCAGGAAGTCTGGGAGTTGAAGTCCATGAGCCATAAAAGAGCCGAGGTTGCCTACCCCTGCTCTAAACTATTAAGAACCAGTTTTAAAATATATTAGCATGTCCTTGAGTAAAGAATAGGTTATCTTAGAAGCTAGCCTTGAAACTTGCCACAACCAGTATATCAGGTAAATACTTGGTGTATAAAACATTCATAAATAGCATGTAATTGCTATGGCTTCATAAATTATGCTTATATGTCCAATCAGGATCTTTCCTTTCAATGTAAGGCACATAATAGCAAAAAAACCAAACAAACCAGAATTTTTGCTTCTTCTAATAAGTATCATTTTAAATTTGTATGTGCTGGGTAATTCTTTTATCCTTTCAGGAAAATTTTCATTTTTTTTTATTTACAGAGAATATGAATTTGGAAAGTTTCATTAAAAAGTGTTTTGCTAAGATTATCTGAAACCATGCTTGTTTTTCTTCTTCACCAACTCAGCTGGACGTGGGCCGGAGGAGACGGACAGGACTTATCAGGGTGGAGTCACATCCTTGAGTTTCTACAGCTCAGCCTGCGATACAATAAATTAACCAAACAGGAACTTGTTCAGGGCTTTCATAAAAATCAGCTTTTCATCTCCATTTGTATTTTGTTCTGAACACACAACAATGAGCTGCCCTGTATTAATTCAAAACTAGACATAACAACCAATAAATAATCTCGAATTCTTGAGAAATGAAAATAGATTGTTACTAACTTATATGCAGATGTTTTTTTGTGTGTGATGGGAGTTATTTATTTATTTATTTATCAAATGTGTATGCCTGCCCATCCCATGAAAAGTGACTCTGGGGAGGCAAACAACAATGAAAGGTAAGTGGATGAGGGCGGAGGCAGGTCGGGAACCTCTGAGCGTTTCTGATAATGTATTGAATTGGATTGTTTTTTGTGTATGTTTGTGTTATAAATGCATCATATTACTTATTGTTTAATTATAAAAATTAATAAAATTTTCTTTAAAAAAAAAATGAAAGGTATTTCTCAACTTACAATCATTAGTTTAATGACCATTCAAAGTTACAACAGTGCTAAAAAAAAAAGTGATTCCTGCCCAGTCCTTATAGTTACCACAGTCACAGCATCCCCGCAGTCATGTGATCAAAATTTGGGTGCTTGGCACTAACATACATTTATGATGGTTGCAGCATCCTGAGATTGCATGATTGCCATTTGTGACTTTCCAAGGGGGAAGCCAGATTTGCTTAATGGCCATAGTGATTATCTCAACAAATGCAGCAAAAATGTTATAAAATTGGCATGACTCACTTAAGGACTACATCAGTGGTGGCGAATCTATGGCACGGGTGCCAGAGGCAGCACTCAGAGTCCTCTCTGTGGGCACGCAGGTCATTGCCCCAGCCCCACCACCCCTGTGGCCCCCTCCTCACCAGCAGCCCCCCCAGAGGAGAGTCACCCTGGGCACAGCCTGCGCGGAGCAGCGCAGCCAAGGACATGGTAGCTGGGCAGCAGGGACAAGACTCTGCCCTCATGCCCCATCATGTATAGATGATGCTGCAGGCTGTGGACAGAGGGCGTGGCTGCCATAACGCTGCTGGGCCGCCTGGGCGATCTGCTGTGGCAGGCCATGGAGGTGGTGGGTGGCCCTGTGGGCAGGAGAGGCGGGGACGGGGCAGGGGCGAGGCGGTTTTGGGTCACTCGGTCTCTAAAAGGTTCGCCATCACTGGACTACATCCTTTAGCAACTGAAGTCCCAGTCCCAATCATAGTCATAAGTCGAGGACTATCTCTATAGAGTTACAGAGGAACATAAAATCCAGATAGTGAAGTAAGAAATACTCACAGATTAAAGTTTGACATTTTATCCGTGTGACTCCGCTCTTCAGTGGAAAGTCATTTACATACACCTGACCGTTCACGTAAGTAATATTAAGGACAACCTAAAAAAACCCCCACAGAATAATATATATTGAATGTACAGAAGTCATAAAGTTTTATACATTTCAAAATACAAAGTTGACCAGGTTTTGTTTAATTTATACAATCATGAGAGCAATTATCCAAATAAGTTATAAGTATAAGCAATTCAAAATTAGTTACCATCCAAACATGCTGACAAATTTGCCATCGTTATGCTTTCATCCTTTAAAAGAATTAAAGGCCATAGTGGTCCCTCACTGGTTTGTTTTTCTTTTTGGTCCCTTTGAGTCAATGTGGATTCCTGGTGACTGCCTGAGCAAATTTCTGCAGTCGGTAACAGTGAAATCAATCAGTGGAACTGCCTTCAGAACTTGTGGGTGCTTTATCACTGGAGGCTTTTAAGAAGAGACTGGGCAGTCATTTGTCTGAAATGGTATAGGGTCTCCTGCTTGAACAGAGGGTGGGAGTAGATCAGGGGTCCCCAACCCCGGGTCCGTGGACCGGTATTGGGCCACGGCATGCCAGCAACCGGTCCACACAAAAAAGCAAAGACCCATCTGTGGAATACAGGCAGCACACAAAACCACACACTCTCCGGTCCACGGAAAAACCTAGTGCCCAAAAGATTGGGGACCTCTGGATTAGATGATCTCTAAAGTCCCTTCCAACTTATTTTTCTGTTGTGTTCTTCTTGGTAAGATTTCGGATGCAGCTTGTCATTATCTTCTTCTTAGGTCTGAGATAGATCCAGCTGGCTTTGTGCCTAAGGTAGAACTAGAAGTCCTCGTCTCCTGGTTTCTAGCCTGGGGCCTTAACCACTCCACCAAACTGGCTTGATCTCTTACTATATTGCCACTGATTTTAGTGATTTTGGATTGTATCTTAAAAACATAACCTGTGTAGTATTTCTGTGTGGAAAAACTAAGGTCTTGCAAGAGGAGCAAGAAGCAGAATGTACACTATTTGATAGGAAGTCACTGACACCTTAAAAACCTAATTTCTGGCTGTAACTTAGATACCCATTCAATGACAAGCCACTGCTTCTCAGTTTTGCTTACCATCATTAACAAAACAGTTACCTAGCTTGGGTAATGAAACGTCTGCAAGAAAACAACCAAGCTGAGAGAACACCACTTTATTAATTGTTCTGTTAAGTTAAATCAGTCCTTTATCTCAGACTGGTACCTCGGACTTCTAACCAGCAGTGGAAAACCATGTTCTCTGTTTCTCCATAGACTCTGTAAGCTAAGGGCTAGGAACTATGATTAGTATATCTCAGGAACACTAGGAACAATGAGAAATAGCTAGACCTTTTGTCACCATCAACTGAGAGGAGCTGAGCAAGGTCCACATATTATCCACAGGACTTCATAATCTGTCAGTTCATACTATAAAACTATGTACTGACAAACTACTATGCTCGAAAAGAGTACACAGGCATACAAAATACATACATTCAGACACATTGCTATGTATATAGAATAATGCCAATTAAGCACCATATCTGGAACCAACAAATAACTCCTAACTTTTACACACCCACAGAAGGTAGTACAGACATAACAAAACTATTTATTGAAAGGAATTACGTGAATATTCCTAAAATGTTAATCAACAACTCGATATATTTACTGTACTATTACAGTAACGAGAAAGACCCAGTGGTGGGATTCAAATATGTGAACAACCGGTTTTCTATGTGGATGCCACTTCCGGAAGTCCGTTCTAGGCCTGGACAACAAAAAATTAGCTACCGGTTCTGTTGAAGTGGTACGAACCGGCTGAATCCCACCACTGGAAAGATCCTTAAGCTGACTTTTTTTTTCTGATGAATCACAATAGTAAAAAGAAAAGACTTTGCTAAATAAAGTACAGGAAGTTGAACATACAATACCTGTCTTTCCTGAACATCCCCGGTGTTTTCTAATATATTTACTTTAATCTTGATGTTTTCCTGAAATAACGGAATGAAAGGAAAAAAGAAAGAAGAGAAAAAGAAAGAAATATTCAGTACAGTTTATAAATTAAGTTAGGTACTTAATTCAATTTTTAGTTTGTGAGACAAATTTATGTTTCCATCCACAATGTGGCCTGTCAGGATCTAGCATTTCTGAAGTCTGTATCTAAATAACCAGGGTCGAAAAACTGAAGGAGGACCAAAGTACCACAAACAGGTTCAGTGATCCCAGAATAGTAGAGGCCAGTGTCATGCATATAACTATCAAGACCCTAAAGTGCCTTTTATACCTAATTGTACATACTATGCTGACCATAAATACAAATTGTCTTGCTGTGCTGCTTTATTATGGCGGGGGGGGGGGGGAGGAGGCATGTTCCTGTAAGGGATGAGCAAAGATAGCCAAGAGAGAATGCCAAAAGCATATAATCTCTCAAGGCTTGAACATCATTCCAACTACCCAGCTAAAGCACGTAGGCACCTATATTGGACAGCAGCAATATTGGAAGATATTAAAGGCAGATAATTGCTTTAGTGGCAATGTCAAAGCCACTGTTTCATATTGTGCTGGAGGACACATTGGAAAATAACTCCAGTATTACCAAGAGACCCATATAGATATATAATAAAAACTGACTTGACACTATGATGCCAGATGATAAGCCCTTTAGGTCATGCTAGAGAAACAACTGAGAATCTTTCAGAATACCAATCTGTTTATGACGTGACTGAATTAAGAAATGTAGGATGCTCAGTTGCTAACTCACCATGCAGGAAAGGAAAATCCAAAATTGCAGAGACAGAATTACAATAGGAACATGGAACATAAGAATTATGAACATCATGGAAAGTGCAACAGAGTTAAAGATGAAATTAATCATTTACATTGACATTTTAGGCATCAGTGAGCTGAAATGGATTAGAACGGGATACTTTTATTGGGAAGATCATACTATTTACTACTTAGGACTAAGATGAAACTAACCAAATTAACTAACCAAAGAGAGAAGCAACCTAGAACTAAGGAGAAACTTCCTGACAGTTAGAACAATTAATCAGTGGAACAACCTGCCTCCAGAAGCTGTGAATGCTTCAACACTGGAAGTTTTTAAGAAGAGATTGGACAACCAGTTGTCCAAAATGGTATAGGGTTTCCTGCCTGAACAGGTGGTTGGACTAGATAACCTCCAAGATCCCTTCCAACTTTATTATTATTATTAAGAAATGGTCTTCTTTCATAGTCAGGAAAAAAATATAGCAAGACCAGTACTTGGACACAGTGCAATCAGTGGCTAAATAATATCAATTACATTTCACAGACAACCCTTCAACAAGGCATTTATCGAGAGAATCCTGTCATACAGCATCACAGTCTGGTTTGGAGGCATCACTGCTTCAGACAGGAAGGCAGTGCAGAGAGTGGTGAGAATGGCCAAAAAGATCATTGGCAGTTCCCTCCCTCCCATCCAGGACATAGCACAGAAGCGTTGCTTGAGCAGGGTCCGTAAGATTATCTGGCACACTACACATCCTCTTCACGACCTGTTTTCCTTGTTACCTTCTGGGAGGAGGCTTCGTGGTATCCGAAGCAGAACATCCAGATTCAGCCAGAGTTTCATTCCCTACAGGATTAACCGTGCAAACTCTCAAGCTTCCTCCTTCAGTTATATATTCAAGTTGGACAATATTTAATATTTATTTGCTACGTATATGTAGGGATGTGGGTCTATACATGTGTTGTTCATAGTATGTTTAGGTGTGTGTCATGTATGTGTTTCACTTTGAGAGAGGGCAACTAAATTTCATTTTTGATGTGTGCCATTGTGCCCACAGTATAAAAATGACAATAAAGGTTATCTTATCTTATCTTATCTTATCTTATCTTATCTTATCTTACCTTACCTTACCTTATCTTATCTTATTTTACTCTCCAACTACGGTAGTCCTCAACATACAACAGTTCGTTTAGTGATTGTTCAAAGTTACAACAGCACTGGAAAAAGGGTCTTATCAACCTTTTTTCACACTTACAACCGGACAGTTTCCTAACATGCTCTTTAGCATATTGTGTGAACTCAGTTATGTTAACTAAACGTTCTTGGCTACAATGTTATTTCATGTTATTTCTGTTGTTTTAAAATGTGATTGTTTTTTTATTATGTTTTTATCCAGTTTTATGAATACAAGATGGGTGACCATATATATTTATTGAACAAACAAACAAATATGCCCATCATTTCTAAAGAGAACATCAGAAATCATTCTGAAGTCCTCAACCTCATTGATCAAGAATCAGCGGAACTGCGGAATGATATCAAGCAAGTTGCTAAACGTGAAAAGTTAAAAAGACCAAACATCAGAAGAAAACAACCAGATAAAAAACAGCAGACATAGCCAAGAAAAGAAGAGAAGCAAAAGCAAAGAAAGACAAAGATCTCAGAAAGGAATTTAACAAAGAATTTTGGAGAAGACACAGGCAGTATTGTAAGGTCATCTGTAAAGATATCAAATATGAAAACAAACACAGAAAAATAAGGTCTTCCAAAAGATCCCCATTGTAGGAATCTTCTGGGTTACAGAAGAAGGTTCCTACAAGGGCTAATGTATGCCAGGGGACAGATAGTAACTGATTCAAATAGGATCAAACAAATAAGAAATGAGTATACTGAAATTCTGTACAATAGAGATGTCAACATCCAAGATATCTTAGAAAAAATACCCTATTTATAAGAACCTTTAATATTAGAGGATGAAGTTAGTTTAGCACGGCAGTCATTAATAAATCATTACAGATAGTCCTTGACTTACAACAGTTCATTTAGTGACTGTTCAAAGTTACAAGGGCACTGAAAAAAGTGACTTATGACTGTTTTTCACACTTACAACCATTGTGGCATCCCCATGGACACATGATAAAAATTCAGCTCCTTGACAACTGACTCTTATTTATAACAATTGCGTTGTCCTGGGGTATTGTGATCACTTTTGCTGACCTTCTGAGAAGCAAGGTCAATGGGGAAGTCAGATTCACTTAACAACCATGTCACTAACAATAATTGCAGTGATTCACTTAATAACTGAGACAAGGAAGGTCATAAAATGGTGCAAAATTCAAAATGTAACAACTGTCTCACTTAGCAACAGAAATTTTGGATTCAACTGTGGTTGTAAATCAAGGACTACCTGTACTAAGTCAGAAAGCAAGAGATATTGATGAAATATCTACAGAAATATAGCAAGCAACAGAGGAATATTCAATAAAAACTGTAACCAATTATGCCAATAAATCATAATGGTGAACAGATTGGAAGAAGTCAGTCTATATACCAACAACAACAAAAAAGAAACTTAACAAGGTGTGCAAACTATTATAATATCTTTAATTTCACATGCTAGCAAAATAAAACTTAGCATCATCCAAGACAGGTTAGAACCTTACATATGGAAACGGAGATACAAAATGTTCTACCTCACTTTAGACAAGCCAAGGAACATGAAAAATTATTTTATTTATTTATTTATTTATTTATTTAATTTTTATCCCGCCCTTCTCCTTACGGACTCAGGGCGGCTGACAGCCTTATAAAACAGATACAAAGATAAAAATACCCAATTTAAAAC